GTCAGCACAGAGCCCGATGTGGGGCTCGAACCCACAAACCGTGAGATCATGACCTGAGCCGAAGTCGGACGCTTAACCAACTGAGCCACCCAGGCGCCCCTGGCCATACCATTTCTTAAGTTCATAGCACTCTTTGTAGAAATGTGACTCTTTAAAACAGCAATATAAAATAGTAGATAAATAGGAACTATTATAGAGAAGTAATCTAGGATTTCAGAGAAATATTAATTTAAGTGAATTTAATATATAATGTATAATATAAGAAGTATTAATATTAAGAGAAATATTAATGTGAACTAGAAGGAAGTAGTCATATATGTAAGATGTAATTAGGTGGACAAGTAAGGAGATTGTTTCTAGAAGGAAACCACATGAGCAAAAGCCTGGAAAGTGAGTATAGTTCTGGTTGAATGGCTAAAGTTAGCAACTCAGGAAACCACAGGTGTTGGTGAGGATGCAGAGAAAAGAGAACCCTCTTGTACCGTTGGTTGGAATGCAAACTGGTGTAGCCACTCTGGAAAACAGTGTGGTGGTTCCTCAGACTGTTAAAAATAGGACTACCCTGTGATCTGGCAATTGTACTAATAGTTATTTACCCAGAGGATACAAAAGTACAGATTTGAAAGGGCACATGCACCCTGATGTTTATAGGAGCATTATAAACAATAGCCAAATTATGTAAAGAGTCCAACTGTCCACTGATGGATGGATAAAGAAGATACGGTATATATGGTATATACGTACAGTGGAATATTACTCAGCCATTAAAAAGAATGAAATCTTGGCATTTGCAATGACATGGTTGGAGCTAGGACAATTAGGCTAAGTGAAATAAGTTAGAGAAAGATAAATACCATATAATTTGACTTATATGTGGAATTTAAGAAACAAAACAAATGAACATAGGGGGTAAAAGAGAGGCAAGCCAAGAAATAGACCCTTATCTATAGAAAACAAACTAATAGTTACTGGAGCGTGGGGCAGGGGGAGGGCGCGTAGTGGTGGTGGTGAAATAGGCAATGGAGATTAAGGAGGGCACTTATGATAAGTACTATTGTATGTAAGGGTGATACACTAAGTTCTACACCTGAAACTAATATTATACTGTGTTAATTAATCAGAATTTAAATAAAAACTTGGGGAGGAAAAAAAGGAAACTGCCTTGGTTGAGTCCAGGTCTATATGGAGGGGAAAAAGAAGCTGGGTTGGACGAGAGGGTTGGTGCCAAGGTGCAGAGCAAATGCAGGCTGGATGTACAGTTATTGCTTAGGGGAGGTCACTGGAGGTGTTGAGCAAGGGAGGGAGGAGATGAGAGTGGTCTTTTAGGAATGTTTTGATGGGAGGTGCTCAAGATGGTTTGGATGGGAGAAAGGATTGAAATCAAGAAGACAATTAGACTAGTTTGTGTAGTGACCCACATGTGAAAAGGCCTGAGATAGGGTGGTGACAAATGGAAGAATAAGAAAGGAACTTGTTTAAAGATTCAAAGGACAAGTTAGTAGAGCTTTGAGACTGATACTTACTGTTCAGGAAGACCTCTAAGATTCTGAGCCTGGAAGGAGAGATGCTGGTGCAGGACTGGAGAGGTGAAGAAAGCTTACTGTGCAGTACAGAAGGCAGGTTTTGTTTGAACAGGCTGTTAGGTAGGCAGGCATGTAGATAGGTAGATAGAGATAGATAAACAGTTTGGAAATTTTTTTTTTCTTTAATTTATTTCTGAGAGAGAGACAGACAGACAGACAGCATGAGCAGGGGAGGGTCAGAGAGAGAGGGAGACACAGAATCTGAAACAGCCTCCAGGCTCTGAGCTAGCTGTCAGCACAGAGCCCGATGCAGGGCTCGAACCCATGAACCGTGAGATCATGACCTGAGCCGAAGTCGGACGCTCAACCGACGGAGCCACCCGGGTGCCCCTGGAAAATGTTTTAAAATGACTTACAATACTACCATTTTGATACAATTGCCCTACATATTCCTTTATTTCTCTTTTGGATTACAGCCCCGGTTCATATACCATATATTCATATTTGAACTCATGAATGTACATACCATTTTGCATTTTAGAATTAGTGTCATTAAAATCTATTTTTCGTAGTTTTTATAATTATACATACTATTGGCTGAAGTTTTCCCCCTTAGTCTGACACATCCCCAGAGCTTCCTGAAAGAAGGGACCATATTGGTACTGTTCATTCCTAAGTGGCTAGAACATAGGCCTATGGATCACCTAGATTATCTCTTTTCTTTATAGAAGTTGCATAATCATGCATATTATTTTTTTTCTCTTTGTTTCTGTTAAAATATTTCCTTATGATAAGTTTGTAAGATTGGGATTGCTGTATGAAAGGACATTATCTATTTGTAGGTCATCCAGATGGCAGTGCACAAGAATGAGTTTGGGGAAACATGCTGCCGTTGAGTGAAAAGTCAATGCTTTCCAGTCATAGAACCCAATTCCAAGGTTACATTTAAGACTCCATAGGGAGAGTTAAACTTTGCTGGCTCCAGGTTTGTGTATGCTTCTTACAGGCTGTTTCCTCACCCATTCAGTAACTTGAGGGAAAAAGCACATAGGAGTTTTGTTGTGCTTCACCATTATTTGGAGGAATGAAGGCAATTTCATCAGAAATCTTTAATTTTTTAAATTATTTTTTAATGTTTTATTTATTTCTGAGAGAGAGAGAGACAGCATGAGTAGGGAGGGTCAGAGAGAGGGAGATACAGAATCCGAAGCAGGCTCCAGGTTCCAAGCTGTCAGCACAGAGCCCAGCGTGGGGCTCGAACCCACGAACTGTGAGATCATGACCTGAGTCGAATCTGGATGCTTAACCGACTGAGCCACCCAGGCGCCCCCAGAAATCTTTTTTGATCATTAATTTCCTACCTAGACTCCCATTTGGAAAACACTGCTGAGTGTGTATTTAGCCATCCTCTGCTTATGGGGTCTTCAGGGAGTTGCCTATCAGTTGGGGTGGCATTTGGCTGTGAGACAAGTTGACTTACAGTGACTTAAACAAGTTAGGGATTGATTTTCCTCATGTAACAAGATGTCCTCGGATGGGTAGTCTGGGCGCTGTTATGACTGGGTGATGTCACTGGAGATCCAAACTCCTTCTGTCTGATGTCACCATCTTCACCTGTGGCTTTCATCCTCATGGCTGCTGTGCCTTCATCCAGTTGCATCCTTGTTTAATGTGGGGAAAATGGAGGGAGGGCAAGGACGAAAGATTGAAATGGCTTTTCTGTGGAGCCTGTCCCTTTCAAAAGCTTTCCTGGAATCCCCACTCAGCAACTTCTGCTCTTACCTCATACGCTAGAACTACAGTTGACCCTTGAACGACACCCGTCTGAACTGTTCAGGTTTCTTTTTTTGTTTTTATAAATGCAGAACAATATTGTAAACGTATTTTCTTAACATTTTCTTTTCTCTAGCTTTATTATAAGAATACAGTATATAATCCATCCAGTATATAATACTGTATATGTGTTAATCAACTGCTTAAGTCATTAGTAAGGCTTCTCGTCCACAGTAGACTATTACTAGTTAAATTTGTAAGGAGTCAAAAGTTGTATGTGGATTTTCAAGTGCTTGGGGCATTGGTACTTTTAACCTCCATGTTGTTCAAGGGTCAGCTGTATATTGAGTGGCCATTCCTAAATGCCAGGGAGAAGTTTAGTATTTTTAGCTGGGTGCCTTGCTTTCCCTGATGAAACTGGTTTGGTTAGTGAAGAAGAAAAAGAGGAAGAATGTTGATAACCAGCAGTGATGGCCACAGTCTCCAGGTGACGTGCTGACAGTGCTCCTAACAGCTTCTTCTTTGAGGTGGTGAAAGGCAAGCATCGATATTTTTACCATACAAGTGAAGGAAAAAAGTGTGAATTTGTGAGGAGTCCATGAGTAGCTATGACTAGGATGAATTTATGTCTGTCATCTGGGTTTGAGCTGAAAAGCCAAAGGACGTATGAAGCCAGCCAAATGTGACATTAATCTTTGGATGCTGCGAGTTTTATATTCAGAGTGAGGATTAATGTTAAATAGCTTTATTATGAGCAGACTCACAGTCAATATAATTAAGGGCTAAGAAACACTCAGGCTAGAGGATTTTTATTAGGTCAGTACTTGGTAACCATTGTATAGTAATTAAGAACTTGGGTTCATAAAGGCCTGCTGCATGTGCTCAAAATAGCCACAGCTCTAGGGTTATGCCCAGCGCTTACAGCATGAACTTTTATTTTTCAGTTATACATACATATACCTGGTGCTCTATTCCAGTGGTTCCTAACTCTTTCTGTGTATGAGACTTCCCCGGGGAGCTCAAACAATATCGATGTCGCCGATACTCTGGTTCTCTTGGTCTGGAATAGTCTTCATTAGTGAGAAATAATGAGGGAAATTGCTAAGGGAGTGGGAGTGGCACTGGAGGCAGAGGATGGCTTTGAGAAGCATGTCAGACAGTCCCATCCAATAGAACTTTCTGCAAGGATGAAAATGTTCTGTTTGTACTGTTCAGTGTGGTCTGTGAGGTACGTTTGACTATTGAGCACTTCACATGGGGGTGTGCAGCTGAGGAACTAAAATTTTAATCAGGTGGTGGCCACATGTGGCTCAGGGCCACATTACTGGATAGCACAGATTCGGAAGGTAGAGTCCACAGGCTACAGTTACCATGTAGGGAAAGGGGGGTATTGGTGGGGGTGAAAGAGGAGGAGCTGAGTGTAATCTCAAAGTTTCTGTCTGCAGAGAGGGGACAGGTGGTTATACTTCTGGTATCGGGAACAGCGTTGGGGGTGAGTTCATGCTTTTACATGAAGGTCTCCGCACATGGCCCAGCACCTGGCCTGTTGTAGGCGCTTAATCCACAATGGACAGTTTTCATAGTATTCGGGCAGAATTCATGGCTCCTGCGTTTTATTTGATGAGTACAAAATACAGTTTAAAAGTGTCTCTGAAAATAGTATTTTCTTCCTATTCAATCTTTTTCTCTCTTTTTAAACATCAGGTATCAGATTGTAGTGGAAATAATACAAGCGACTACGATTAGCAGCTTTCCCCAGCTGAAGAGACACAAGGGTAAGAACCATTTGTTTTTTTAAGCTGTACATTTTGAAAGTTCTGGATCTTCCCCAGACTCTTCTTCTGTCAGAATATCAGCAAGTATGAGCACTTTTCTGACTTATATTTATATATTTCCAATTTATTAAAGTAATAGTATAATCAGCAACGTTAGAGAAAGTATAATTTCATGGTAACAAGAACCTTTGTATTTCTGTGTTTCTTTAAACTTTCTTCATCTGTAGTCATAATGTTTCAGACTGAAATCATTGGGTGTGTAGTGCTTCTGTTCTGATTTTAAAGTAAGCATGATTTCATGATTTTTTTCTCATTAAAATTTAACCTTAATATTCATTATTATTTTTAATTTGAAACATAATCTTAATAGTTATTTAAATGACTCCAGTGAGTTGATAATTTGCAATTTTCCTTAAATTTTTTCTTTAGTTATTATTTGTATCTTGTATTCTTGTATTCTTTCCTCCTTCTGTGTTTAAAAAAAGAAAACACAAGGGCACCTGGGTAGCTCAGTCGGTTGAGTGTCTGACTTCCGCTCAGGTCATGATATCACAGTCTGTGGGTTCGAGCCCCACATTGGGCTGTGTGCTGGCATTTCAGAGCCTGGAGCCTGCTTCAGATTCTGTGTCTCCCTCTCTCTCTGCCCCTTCCCCTCTTTCTCTCTGCCTCTCTCTCTTTCAAAAATAAGTAAACATTAAGAAAATTAAAAAACAAACACAAAACTACTTTTCTCCCATTTGTTTCCCTTCAAATGAAGAGATTTTTACCCAGGCATGATAGTGAGGAATAATTAAGGTGTGAAGCTGGCTTTCAACTCTTTTTATCCTTGGCCTGGGGCTAGCATATATATATATATCCTCCTCTCATAGACCTGTCACTGCCTGGAGTGCAGGTGTTGATCCATAGCTAAGCAAACGCCACTGCCTTGTAGGCTAGCCTTCCCATGAAAATCTCAAGGCCTGCTCGAGTCTGGGGACTTTTCCTTGTGTGTGAGTAACTGACCGAGGTAGGAGCTGGGTAAAAATGAGACGAAGGGACAGACTAGGAAGAGGCATAGATTCTTAATCTCTGTCCACAAAGAAGATTGTACAAATTTGTTCAGTCAAAAAATGCTTACTGAACACCAACTAGGTGATGATGATACAGTAGTGGGAAAAAACAAAGTCTCTGCATTAAGCTCTTAAATGAGGCTGGGAGGCAATCAGAAAACGAGCAAATCAAGTAAGCAGCATTTTATTTTATTTTTAAAGTTTTACTTGTTTAAGAGAGAGAGTTGCATACGCAAGTCATAGGGGATGGAGGAGACAGAGAAAGAGAGAGAGACAGAGAGAGACAGAGAATCCCAAGCAGGCACCCCACTGTTAGTGCAGAGCGCGATGTGGAGTTTGATCTCTTGAATCATGAGATCATGACCTGAGCGGAAATCAAGCATCAGATGCTTAAGTGACAGCCACTCGGGAGCCCAAATAAGCAGTATCTTAGATGTGCTGTGTGCCTTGGAGAAAAAGCTGTGAGTGGGTGTGTGTGGCAGAGCAGTCTGGCTTAGCTGGAGGGGAGGCAGATTTGCATTCACATGGGTCATCTGGGAAGACCTCCCCTACACGGTGACCTGGGAGCAAAGACCTGGGGACCTGAGGGTGTCTGGGGAAGGACAGGAGCAAAACTGAGGCAGAAGCATGTGGGGCTTGCTTGAGTCACCTGTGTGGCTGGAAAGGGGTTGAACTGGGGGGAGAGAAGCCAAACATGAGATGGGAGAGGTGGCACGGGACCCCATTCCGTAGGGCCTTACTGGTACTGCTGAGACTTTGGCTTTTGGTTGGCACGAGGAAGAAAGGAAGTGTTTGGGGGCTTTTGAGCAAAGGAGGTGTGATCTGATTGATCCCTACGAGGCTGTGGGCTCTGTTCCTCTCCTTTTTTCTTACCGTTCCTGCAGAGAAGATGCTTCATTTCAGACGGTTATTTTTAAGAGGATAGTAGAGAAGGAATTCTGGTTGCCACCATTATTTTTCCTCAGTGTTCTTCCTTGATATGTGAGTTTATTAGTCAGCGACCCTGTCCTTATTCTTTGGTGTTGTATTAGTTTACTAGGGCTGCCATCACAAAGTAGCCCAAACTGCTTGGCTTTGACAACAGAACTGTATTTTGGCAGTTCTGGAGCCTGGAAGTCTGAGATCAAGGCGTCAAAAGTGTTGGCAGGGTGGTCCTTTCTGAGGACTGTGGGGGAAGAGTCTGTTTCAGCCTCTTGTTTGTAGTTGGCTTGTAGTTGGCTGTCTCCTCTCTATGCCTTCACGCCGTCTTCCCTCTGCTCAGGACTTTGTCTAAATTTCCTGTTCTTGCAGGGACACCAGTCATATTGGATGAGGGCCGACCCCATTGGCCCCATTTTAACCTAATCACCACTGTAAAGACCTTCTCCAAATGTGGTCACTCTGAGGTACTGGGGGTTAGTACTCATAAATCTGAGGGTGGGAGTGGGAACACAGAGAAGCCCAGACAGTTATGTTACTAGACATTCTCAGTGATGCTTCTTCCTTTCATGCCTCATTTTCTGTCTGAGCTGCTCTCAGAACTGTCTTGCTCTCAAAATGTCTCTTCCTATTCAAGCCCTCGAGAGAAGGCAAGCAGGCTGAGCCCGCTGGGGCCATGGAGCTGTGTTGCCTTGGGACAGAAAACACAGGAGACTGGTTCACCTCTCTAGGGTCACAGAGGAGCAGTGATTATCGTCATGCCCAGATAGTATGATACTCAAGTGGATTTTGGTCTTCTTGCTTTTTCCAGAGGTAAACTCTCAAGATTAGCCTTTTGTTACATACTTAGTGTTTAACATGAATGTTGAACGTGAACGTGTATGCATATTTTAGGTCTGTAAGGACAAATTAACTGCTAAGGAATTATTCTGAATTTGATGTATTATGGTTGAATTTTAATTAAAAAAAGTATTCGGTTTATGATATGCATTAGTTTCCCAAGGCTGTGAGAGCAGAGTACCACAGACTGGGTGGCTTAAATAAGAACATGTATTCTGTCCCCGTTCAGGAGACTTGAAGTCCCACGTCACGGTGTGAGCAGAGCCATGCTGTCTCTGAGTGCTCTGGGAAGGGTCTCTTCCACACTCGTCTCTTAGCTCTTGGCGTAACTGGCAGGCCTTTGGATCGAAGGCCTGTTGTTCCAGTCCCTGCCTCTTTCACTACATGGCATTCTCCTTGTGTCACCACCTCTTTTCTTATAAAGATACCAGTCATATTGGATTAGGACCCATGTTAATTAAAATGAGCTCATCTGAACTTGAGTACATCTGTAAAGACCCTATTTCCAAATAAGGTCACATTCCTAGGTGCCAGTGTTTAGGACCTCAACATATCTTTTGGGGGGACACAATTCAACCCATAGCATTATAACTGATATGTTCAAGATAGCATTGTAGTGGTGCCTGGGTGGCTTAGTTGGTTAAGTGTTTGACTCTTGATTTTGGCTCATGTCATGATCTTTAGGGTCATTAGATGTCTGGCTCTGTGCTGAGTGTGGAGCCGGCTTAGGATTTTCTTTCTCCCTCTCTCTCTCTCCCTACCCACTGTGTGGGCATGCACATGCTTTCTCTCTCTCAAAAAGAAAGAAATAAAAGCATTGTAGTGACTTTCTTGTGAAAATGCTAGAAACATTTATTTTCAGTAAGCTCTCTAATTACAGTAAGATTTGCTGCATTACTCTTCTTTTGAGTTAATTCTGTTTTCAGTAGTTAGCTTTTGTAAATTAGTCTCTTCTAAGTCTATTATAGGGTTCAAAGTAAGAAACAAAGTCTCAACAAAAAGCAGGATAGCTAAAACCATTAGGTGATTTCTGCCACAGTGTGTCTTCATGTCCAGAACAAAGCCAGGTTCATGGAGTCAGCACTCTGGCAAAATGTGTGGGTCTGTATAAGAAGGAGGGGAAGCATAATAGGGAGAGGAGGGAGGTAAATTGGATTTCATCAAAAGTTAAACTCTTGCGTGTGTTACAAGAAAGTAAAAGGACAACCCATAGAATGGGAGAAATATTTGCAAATCATATATCTGATTGTGTCCAGAATGTATCAGGAATTCCTGCAACTCATTAATCAAAAGACAGTGCAATTGAAACATGGGCCAAGGATCCACATAGATATTTCCCCAGACAATGTGTACAAATGGCTAACAAGCACACGAAAATGTGCACGGTATCATTTGATATGAAGGAAATACCAATTAAAGCTAATATGGCATCCCAGTTCACACCAACTAGAGTGCCTAAAATAAAAAACTGATAATATGTGTTGGTAAGGATGTGGAGAAACCGGAACTTGTCTGTGTTGCTGGAGGAAATGGAAAACAGTCTGGCAGTTCTCTAAAATGTTAAAAAGAGAATTACCGGGGCTCGGGGCAAGATGGCGGAGAAGTAAGGAGCTCCGTACTTGCACTCGCGCCCATACATCACACAAAAAAGATCTGAAGCCATTGGAAACCTTACAAA